TTGGGCGCCCGAATTATCCGGGGTAACTCGGGCCCGGGGTAACTCGGGTTCGGATTCCCGAAAAACGAACCCGAGTTAGCCCTGACCCGAGTTACCCCTGATGATTTGGGGCTCTGGACGCCCGAATTATCCGGGGTAACTCGGGCCCGGGGCAACTCGGGTTCGGATTTCCGCAAAACGAACCCGAGTTAGCCCTGACCCGAGTTACCCCTGATGATTTGGGGCTCTGACCCAGGCCCCAGGGCGGCCACAACCAGATATGTCATTGAGGGGCAACGTCGCGGGGGGGGGCGGCTCGTGAGAGGGGGAACATCGACCTGGACTCGGCGACGCGTCGCCGACAGATCGGCGCCAGGCCCCCTGTGGCGAATCCGCACAGTCCTCGGCGGGGTGGGCTGTCGGGACCCTACAGTTGAGGCCAGTCCACAGGAAAACTTCTACAAGAAACCCAACCCTGAGACCCCAGGACGTCCATTGGTTCTCGGTGTGGGAACGTCACGCTGGCCATAGCGAAAAAACCATCGAAACCCAAGGAACCCTGGGCACCCCGGGGGCAAGCAGGGTGCTTCTTGGCACGGCCCTCCACTGCATCGGCGATATCGATGCATCACCCCCTGAGCCCACACCGCCCCCCCCCCCCGACGTTACGCCCCTGGGCTTAATGGGCCCTGGAAACGACAGGGCAGTTTTATTACCGGTTCCGTTTTGCCGTTTTTTTGCAGGTTCCGACGCCGTTTTTTACCGGTTCCGTCGCCGTTTTGACCGGTTCCGGCTCCGGTTCCAATCCTGGAGCCGTTTTTTGCCGTTTGCGGTCGCCGTTTTTTTGCCGTTTCCATTGTCACGGGACATTTTTTGGGAAACGGTGAAAAAACGGCCCTGCCGTTTCCGGGGCCCACAAAGCCCCTGGGTGATCTGACAGACAATCAGCGCCCCTCAAACGGGGACTCCACTAACGGGTACTTTGGCCAGTGACCCAGCGAACCCAACCCTTCCCGATGCGGGCAACGCTGCATTGCCAGAAAGAGGCCCTAAAGTGGCAACTTTCTGCAAAATTGCAAAGTACCCGTTAGTAAGTACCCGTTGCGGTGTCGTTGAGACAAGCCGCGGGATCAGCCCGCATCGGACCGGGACATCGGATCGGCTCGGAGCGCACGACGGACGGGGCCGCACCGGCACGGAGCCGAACTCCAACCAGCTGGGCCGCGCCGGGACGCACAGAAGCGCCCGTGCAATCATCTGGCCGCATCGGATCGTCGCGGCGGGGCAGAGGAGAGGAGGGAAGGGCGAGAGGAGGGGGTCCTCCTCCTCCTCCTCCTCCTCCTCCTCCTCCTCCTCCTCCTCCTCCTCCTCCTCCTCCTACTCCCCCTCCTCCTCCTCCTCCTCCTCCTCCTCCCCCTCCTCCTCCTCCTCCTCCCCCTCCTCCCCCTCCTCATCGGACCGCGAATGTCGGGTCGGAACGGCTGACGCCACTGCCACGCGCCCCCCTGCTGGCGAGGGCAAGGTCGGCCTCACGACAGACTGGGGGGGCCTCTGAGGATATCAACCCGAGCTCGGGCAGGCACCCTGCTCGAAGACAGGCTTTCCCCCCAAGCTGGGCCCCGCGCGAAGGACGGCGATGATGTCAGGAGGCGATGGGCTCAGGATACGTTCCAGGAACTCTGGAGTATCTAGCACAAGCCTCGGAAATCCTTGCAGAATCCTGGAGCATATCATGACCATGGCCGCCTGATCCCCTGAGCGCAGGCGCGGAAACGACGGCCACCCGGAGGCGCCACGCAGTTTACGACGCAGCGGTCCGCCGGCATCTTCCTCAGCAGCGCTCCGGTCGACACCTCCCAGATGAAGAGGCTGCCGCAGTCGCCCCCCGTGCCCACAGCGGCATCCCCGCAGAGGAAGCGCGCCTCCTTGACGGAGGTCTGCTCGTTCACGCGGCCGGTGAGCGTGCGCACGGAGTTCAGGCGCACGCGATCCGGGGCGGACGAGAAGGGTATAGGGCGCCGAGGCCTCCACGCTCTGCGAGGCGGGGATCTAGCCACATCCACCGCCTGGGAACCGACGTCCTGGTGCCCCAGCGGGCGGCGGGTATGGATTCATCTCTGCCCCCGGGACCCGAACGTATCCGTATCTGCCGCCTGTGGAGGTCTGCGAGGATCGATTCGATCCCCAGGCGGCAGTTATGGATAAATCCCCGCCCAGTAACGTATCCACTGCCACTGGCCAGACCTACTCTGGGCTCAGGAGCGGCGTTGCGGGACGGGACAAATGACCACAGCCACTGCTTCTTGTTTACGCCGCCTTCCAGCCGGCCGAAAAAGGAGCAGTGGTTGTGGTCGTTTCCCTGGTGCCAAGCTTAACGAAAATGACCACAACCACTGCTTTGTTTTTGCTGGCTGGAAGGCGGCAACAAAAGAAAAGCAGTGGCTGTGGTCGTTTTCACGTCCCGTAATACGGCCCCGCCAGCAGACGGGCCGTGTGATCCCTCTGCGTCCGGCTGCTTCCCCGGGAGGGCGCGGGGGTGCCCCGCTGACTCTGCCTCTGCCTCGCCGTCGCCGGGGACGTCCGTTCCGCGTGCGCTGTTTTGGTTTCGTGCGTGTCTTCTGTTTGCCCGCAGGATATAATCCAAGATCCTCCTGGATGGCACTGGCCGGGAAAAGAAACAAAAGAAACAAGAACAAGCCTTTTTATGTGTATATATATATATATATATATATATGCAAAAACAAAAAAAAACGTCCGAGCGATGCCAAGCTGCCTCTGCCTCTGTCTCGGGGGCGCCGGCCGGGGAAGGTGGCCTCACCCGCTCGCGGCCGGGCTGTGGGGAAGTCTCGGGGCCTTGTGCGGCGTTTGCCTGCTTTTGCTGCCCTCAGCCGAGGGTGGTCTCTCCGGGAGGCCCCCTTTCCCAGAACCCCCCCCCCGTTTCGTCCGACCCGAGCGATCTGCAGGAAGCGGAAGCCTGCCCCTCGGCACCTCCGCTGCCTCACCCGGGTCGGCCGCGCCCAGGGGCGGAGCCTCCGGGGATAGCCAAACGGGCACTGCTACACCGCCGCTCTCTCGACCTCTCCCAGGGCGCCTTCTGACCAGCATTCCGAGGCGTATCCAGCCCATTGCCTTGGCGGACTTTAGCTCGAGCCCTGGAGCCCTGACGGGGGGAGGGCGGCCATCTGCCCGGCGCGCGGGCGTGCCCAGCCCACCAGGGCATATCGCGCTCAGAGATGGGCCATCCAGAGGAATGCGAGTTAAGGTTCCCCCCCCGGGGCGCCGATGCCAGATCGGGCCCGAAGGATCGCAGATTCGGGAGGCTGCCAGAAGCCCGTATCAGAGGAGCACCTGGCACAAGCAAGCGTCAGAGCATATGATACATACAACGTATGATTGTATATTCGTCACATATATATATATATATACACGTACACATATATATATATATATATATATATATATTGGCGTGCTCCCGTAGCTGCGGATAATAGTGAGTGCGGGCGATTTGGCGAGATGAGGCGTCTCTGGAAACCGAGAAGCACAAACGAGACACCCTTTATACGGCAGGCAACACGGCACTTGCCGGCCTCGAATTTATTTTAGCATATTTCCTGAAAGCTTGAGTCGTTTCATCCCTCGTCAATTCTCATCTTCATCATTCACTGCCATCACAACAAGATGGCCTTCTTGTGGTCGAAAAGCCATCCGATCAGGCGCGCTCGACGGGTCGCGGGTGGGCCGAGGGGCACATTCTGTCGCGGGCTTGGTCGCGGGTGGGTCGCGGGGCGGTTCGTGGGCAGGTGCCGGGGCGGGTCGCGGGATGGGTCGCGGGTGGGTCGCGGGTGGGTCGCGGGAGGATCGCCGGGTGGGTCGCGGGAGGATCGCGGGGGCGGGTCGCGGGCGGGTCGCGGGATGGGTCGCGGGTGGGACGAAGACATCAACGAACAAATAACCCACAGAACCCGAGCCGCGGATTTTTTTCAGCCACGCACCCAGGGATGGCAGACCGTTCGGTCCCCTCACGTTGATCATTGTCCCATCTCATTCTTGTTTTGCTCCTCCTCCTCCTCCTCCTCCTCCTTCTCTTCCTCCTCTTTTCGTCCTCGTCGTACTTCCTCCCCGCCCCCCACTTACTTTCTGTTCTCTTCCTCTTCATCCTCTTCCCCGTCCTCCTCTTCCCACTTTCCTCCCTCTTCCGTCCTTCGTCGCCGCCTGTCGCCGTCGAGCGCCAGCCGGCCGGCGGGGCGGCGGGGGGGCGGTGAGTCCTTCAGCGTGGCAGCCGAGATCGCGACGACGGCGACGATGGGGAAGGCGGGTGGAGGACGAGGAAGGAAGTAGCAAGGGGGAGGAGGAGGAGGAATAGGAGGATACGGAGCATGGTGTTGGTTATGGGCGATATGATGGTGCTTCTCGCATGCGTTACCTACGGCCTAAAGGCCCATTACATCCACGCAGGTTGGACGGCTCATCGGAACAGCTCAGCAGACTCGCACTCGCCATGCAGTGCGCCGCCAATCGGGTTCTGACCACAACCCGTGTTGGCTTGTGTACAGGATGCTGAACCGTGGCTTGGCGGGCTCGAGAGAATGACAGCCGCTAGCCCTCCTTCTTAAACCTTGCTCCTCCCCCCTCCCAAGTTACCCTGGCGGCTCCAAGCAAAACGGCCCAAGAAAACGTCGACAACCGCTGGAGATTCCACTACTAAAAAAATGAGCGTACCGTTGCCAGTCTACACAATCGATCGACTTGCGAAGCATGACCACTCACTGACGTGCCTGCGGCAAGCACCTACACGATCCCTACTTCTCCCCGCCGTCCTCCTCCTCGCCGTCGAGATCGTCCCAGCCAGACAGCTCCGCGTCCTCCTCGGGCTCCTCCTCCTCGATCTCCTCGGCCGTCGCTGTCGATGCCGCCGCCTTGCCCTTGCGCGGCTTCTTCTGCACGCTGGGTTTGGGCGCCGCCGCAGGCCTCTTCATCGTCGGCTTCTCCTCCTCCTCAGGCTCCTCCTCCTCTACTTCATCCTCGCCGGCGGTGCCAGCAGCGGCGGCGGCGGTGCCCTTCAGAGCCTCGCTGAACTGCTTGTTGAAGTGGGGGTGGTCCATGGTGGTCATCGTCTTCATTGCCGCCATCTGGAGCTTGTCCCGGCCTGCCTGCGCGTGTTCCACTGTCCAGGCCACTGCGGCGTAGTTCACCCGCTTGTCCATGCAGACCTCTCCGAAGCTGAAGTCCCCTGGCGTGAGGTCCACCACGTTCGCGATGAAGTACCTGTGGATGAGTTCCTCGAAGAACTCCTGCGGCATTGCGTTCCAGCACACAGGCTCTACCGTATCGTCCGTGCGCGGGACGTTGCCGTCAGCCCCTTTGCCGCCAACGGGGATCCTGAACTGGCGGCCGTACAGCTCCTTCTTCACGCCTACTGTAGCCGACCACTCCTCGCTCAAGTTGCGAAGCTTGATCGGCCCAATCACTGTCCCACGATTTGTACCTGCATAGTGGAGAGACTGCCGCTCTGGGAGCGGCAACGTTGTCGTGGAAACCACTGCCATCGTCATGGTCTGCTTGACCGAAGCTGCCCCACGGGTCAACGACTTTCGGTCTCGCACGGACTTCTCGTCTTTCACGATGGTCACCTTCCGAGGGTTGAAGGCGATGGCGTCGTCATTATCCTCCTCCTCCTCGGGGTTGTCAATCACTGCATCCTCAGCCTTGCCCTTCTCCTTCTGCTCGGCGACGGTGCCCCTCCGGAACGGGGTCAGGAGGCTCCTGGCCACCATGGGTTTGCCTCCGTCGAGCAGCACCGCGATCTCCCCTTGACAGGAAACCCATCGGTCCGAAATCCTACTTGCCGCGGCCCCAGGGAGAAGTAGGCGGAGGAGGGAGGAGGCGGAGGTAGAGGATGATGGGGGAAGAGGAGGAGGAGGAGGAGGAGGAGGAGGAGCAGGAGGAGGAGGACGAGGAGGAGGTGGAGGAGGAGGAGGAGGAGGTGGAGGAGGACCCTACAAGATTTCAGACCAATGCGGTTTCCCCAGCCTTGCTGCAGTGCTGCCTCCTTGAGCGGGTGTCGCGCTGCAAGCACGATGCGAACCAAGCGGTCGTACGGCTTCTTCTGGAAGGGGGAGCCGCGCGTCTGCGGCGAGGTCTCTGCCTCGGTCGCCAAGTCGGAGTTGTAGTGGATCAGCGTGAGGCCCGCCATGGTGCCGACCGCCGTGAAGAGCGGGCTGGAGGCGATCTCCTCCATCATCTCTTTCTCCGAGTCGGAGTGAACGATCACCTTCGACCACGTGCGGCTGAGCTTTCGCGCCGCCGTCTCGAACTGACTGCGGATATCCTCCTTGATGTTCGCCAGCTGCTTGTTGAGCGATGCGTGCTGGGGAGCAACGACGAGCCGTCCTTTCGCCCCTGCAGGCGGCGCTGGTGGATGAGCGGGCTCTTCGATGGCCGGCAGGCCAGCGTTGACCCTCTCCGCAATGCACTCCTTCTCGACCTCCGCCTTGATCTTCACGAGCTCCTCAGTGAACTGGGAGTACTCCACGATGTCCGTCGCCAACTTCGCACTCCGCGCCGCCGTCTTGAAGTTGTGGTCTAAACCCGTACCGTACATCGTCATCTCCACGAGCGCCAACGACTTCTCGAAGGATGCGCCACGGCGAATGGTCTCTCCGTTGGCTCCGGGGCTCACGGCGAACATGTAGACAAGGTCGATCTCCTTGGGCGCTTCACCAGGCGCCTCGGGGTAGCCAGTCACCTCGGCACGGCACGTGGCGTGTGACTTCATGAGCGCGCGCAGCTTCGTCATATCATCGAGCTTCACGCCCTGCTGGGGAATGAGCTTGTCCATTAGGATGGCGCCCACGTCCCGCTTGAGGAGGGCGACGTCGCACAACACCGAGTTCAGCTTGCTGACGGACAGCTCCCCGGCCTCGTACGTGCCCATCTTGAGCCCGTCAATGAAGTGGTCGAAGCACCAGCGGATCTTCTGCTGGTCGCCCTTGCACCTGTTCATGATGGTCTTCCACTTGTTGATGTGATTGAATGGCCCGTTCTTCAAGAAGTACCGGTCGTGCCACTCGAGAAGGCGCATGATGTGGGCGTCTGACATGATTTTGTCAGCAGAGCTCAGAGCAATGTCAACGAAGTTGAACGAAATCTTGTCGTCACCATCTTGCTGATCGACCTTGCTGATCCTTTCGAAGACCTGCCCGGCAGTCGCCTCTCTCTTCATGGAGGCGGAGATTATGGCGTGCTCCCGCAGGACCATCTGCACGCGCTGGATCGTCGTCCACTTGATTGCGACAGCCGTCTTCATCATCCGCTCCCGCTCCCTCTGGAAAATACTAAAACGTAGGTGGTGCGTCGAACGTCTCCTCCGCCCTCCTCCTCCTCCTCCTCCTCCTCCTCCTCCTCCTCCTCCTCCTCCTCCTCCTCCTCCTCCTCCTCACCCCTTACCTCCCCCTGCTCCTCCGTCTTCCAAGTGGCCAAAACGAAACTTGGGTGTGCCCGGTGTCCCGAAGTTGTGCAAGGAGATGTCCTCGGCCGTCATGCGCCAGAACGCGAACTGCACCGACCCGAAGAGCTTGCTCCAAGCCCTCGCACGATTGTCGTCGAACCAACTCTGCTGGATCTCCGTGGCGCACCTCTTGATCGCCGCGTGGGCCATTTCACATGGCGAGATGCGCCTCATGGAACCCTTCGCGCTCTGCAAGTCGAAGTCGGCATCCATGAGGGCGATCTGAATCCCACGCAAAGTCGCCGGCAGCTCGCTGGATGCCGAGAGCTCCCCGAAGTCTTGGTTCACGAGGTCGTCAACGTCTTTCTCCAAGATGGACACGCCTGCAACTGGAGTTGGAAGATGGTTGGCCCAAAAGAATGGACAGCCTGCCCTCATCACCTCCACGGGCTTGTCCACCACGCTGTACGGCTGGACTGCGGTCTTCAAGGACGCCTCGTTGAACGGCTCGAGCTTGGCACCTTCATTGATGGTGAGAGGCTGCGAAGACGATCTGAAGAGCTCCCCCAGGATGGGCTGAGATTCGATGACCTCCATCCACTGCTGGACCCTGGTGTGGTAGTCGGAGTTCACAGTGGCGTTCTTGGCGTTCTCCGGAAGGCCACCCTGCATGATGTGGGTGTTTGCCGCCGCAGCGGCATCTGGCGCTGGTGGTGGGCCACGGCCGCGACCGCGGCCTCGGCCGCGGCCTCCGCGGCCAGTCTGGCCGCCGTGGCTGGTCTGGGCGGCCTTCTTGGCCATGCTGTTTGACTGGCGGTTTGCTCGAAGACAGAGTCTTGCACCAAAAAGGCTATGTGGCGATGGTGATGCTGATGACGATGATCATGGCGATGTGATGCCGACGTCGTCGCCGATCTTCTTCGACATCGTCGATGTCGAAGAAGATCGGCTACGACGCTGGGAGGCAGGGAGGAAGGATAAATGACATGCCCCTGCGCGCCAGACGGAGATCGATCGAGGGGCCTTCGCTTTCTTTGACCGTTTAATCGCCTACTCGCCATCCCCCCCCCGTCTTCGAGCCCCCTCCACTGGCCAGCCTTCGAAAGGGAGAGGAATGGCGGAGAGGGAGGAGGGGCCGTAGAAGTGAGAAGGGAGAAGGGAGGAGGAATGGAGGTCATTCTACTTGTTTTTGGCTGTCGCCGAGAGACCGTCGCCCCCTAGCACCACCTATCTATAGGCTTCTGCATTACAAGGCCAGCCGCCCACAATGCTTCCCCAATTACTCTCTCGGCCACGTTGACACTCATTGAATTCCCAATCATCTTGCACATCTGCCTGCTCGAAATTCCGGCCTTCTTCCACAAACAGAATTGCTTGCGCCCAAACCCTTGGAAACGGAAGATCTCGCGGGCGAGGATGCGCCCGCCCCGCGGGGTAACCCACCAATCTCTCCCTGACGTGCGACTCGCAGTGAGGCAAGGCATGAGGTCCACGCGAGCCCCCCCGCTGCGCTGGAGAGTGCAGCCGATGTCGATTACCGAGATTGTGGACTCCGGGTGCAAGCCCTTCTCGAGGAGTGCCTTGTACGATTTGATCACGATGCGGCGACACCGCTTGAGCCTTTTCGGGGGCACCCTGCGAGCGTTATCTCCAGGGCTCTTCTGAATTACCTTGTCCATTGTCAATTTCAGAGGGACTTTCTTTGGCCACTGGAATGGCCGCTTCCAGTGCAGCGCAGCAACCAGGTACACGCGCGGCCGGGACTGCGCAATCCCGTGGTCACACGTATTCAGAACCTTAGCTCTGACTTTGTACCCGATGCGTTTCAACTTCACAACCATCCTGTTGAACTCTGGCCGGTGGCGTTTCGATATGATCCCTTACACCATCTCGTAGCTGACGAGCCTGGGGCGATGGCGTTCGATGTATTTCACGCTGTGCTCCCACAAACATCCAGACTCATCTTGGGCACCAAGATGCTTGCCCTCAGCCGAATATGGCGTGCATGGGGGCGAAAAGTGAAAGTAATCCGACGGCCAGGGCGGCGCCCAGCGGGCGCGGCGGGTGGGCCACATTGCCCCCCTCTTCCTATCCTCCTCCTGCTCCTCTACCTGCCTACTTCCGCATGCTTCCCATCCTCTCTTCCTCTGCTTCTCCCCTCCCTCCCACTGTCCTCTTCTTCCTCCTCCTCCTCCTCCTCCTCCTCCTCCTCCTCCTCCTCCTCCCCCTCCTCGTCCTCCTCCTCCTCCTCCATCCTCTGCCTTCTCGGGCCTTCGAAGGGGTTTGGAGTTGGCGGAAGGGCGGCAACGGCTAATCGGTCGCTGGCGCTGTCTCTGTGTCTCGCTCTCTCACATCTCTGTAGACGACCTTGGCCCCGTTGACGTGGCTGACTTTCTGACACGATGGGTCCGAATCGGCATCGAACAGGAGTTGATGGCGAATACCCCAAATACGGAGAGCAGTGACTGGAGCGTTGCAGCCAGAGAAGTCGGCGCCGACCTTCAGCACTCTCGGGCAGCGTCTGACGACGTCGGCGTTGTCGTCTTCGTCGTCGGACATGCTGGATTCTGTCAGGGTCGATCGTGAGAGCTTGAGCCCCGGCGAGCTACGGTGAAAGCCCGCTCCGAAGACCGAAAAAGTGAGTGAGAGCGAGGGGTGTAATTACCCCCTCGCTCTCACTGCTCGGGGGCGACCCGGAGCAGTGAGAGCGAGGGGGTAGAGACGCGAAAACAAGTGAGAGCTAGGGGGTAAAACTATTGGTCGATGACTTCCCCCCTCGCTCTCACTGCTCCGGGTCGCCCCTGAGCAGTGAGAGCGAGGGGGTAATTGCACCCCTCGCTCTCATCTTCGTTTTCGGCTGGTCCAGCCAGGGCGGATTCGAGTTCGGCGCCAACTCCTTCCCTACTTTTTGAGCGGCTCCAGGCTCCGAGCTGAGCGTGTCGGGGGCGCCTCCGAGCAGTGAGGGCCGGGGTCGGGGACGACTCCGAGCAGTGAGAGCTGGGGTCGGGGACTCCGAGCAGTGAGAGAGCCAGGGACGACTCCGAGCAGTGAGAGCTGGGGTCGGGGACGACTCCGAGCAGTGAGAGCTGGGGTCGGGGACGACTCCGAGCAGTGAGAGCGAGGGTCGGGGACGACTCCGAGTAGTGAGAGCCAGGGTCGGGGACGACGACTCCGAGCGGTGAGAGCTGGGGTCGGGGACGACTCCGAGCAGTGAGAGCAAGGTTCTCACTGGTCGGAGTCGACTCCGAGCAGTGAGAGCCGGGGTCGGGGACGACTCCGAGCAGTGAGAGCGAGGGTCGGGGACGACTCCGAGCAGTGAGAGCTGGGGTCGGGGACGACTCCGAGCAGTGAGAGCTGGGGTCGGGGACGACTCCGAGCAGTGAGAGCGAGGGTCGGGGACGACTCCGAGCAGTGAGAGCTGGGGTCGGGGGCGACTCCGAGCAGTGAGAGCTGGGGTCAGGGACGACTCCGAGCAGTGAGAGCGAGGGTCGGGGACGACTCCGAGCAGTGAGAGCTGGGTTCGGGGGCGACTCCGAGCAGTGAGAGCTGGGGTCAGGGACGACTCCGAGCAGTGAGAGCTGGGGTCGGGGACGACTCCGAGCAGTGAGAGCGAGGGTCGGGGACGACTCCGAGCAGTGAGAGTTGGGGTCGGGGACGACTCCGAGCAGTGAGAGCTGGGGTCGGGGACGAGTCTGAGCAGTGAGAGCGAGGGTCGTAGGCGAGTCCGAGCAGTGAGACCGAATGTCCGACGGTCGGGCGCCGCTGCAGATAGGAGGAGCAGGCAACGGGGTGACGGCGGTTGCTAGGTCGTAAGAGGCAGCAGCAGGGGGCGGGATAATGATGTGGAGCGGGATAATGATGATGTGGATAATGATGATGCTGTGTGCAAGTTGCTACTCAATTCAACCTCGGTAGGATCACGGCGGCACGCACACCCCAAGACGACGAGCAGATCATCTCGCGCGTGCCCGTGGTCCAAACAGAGACTTGCTCGCATCAACGTTAGTGATGAACTCCACCTGCCCTCGACATCGAAAGCACCCCTGGCGTAATGCACGCCCTTCTGCTACCCCAGGACCAAATCAAAAAAGTATGGTAAATGACAGGTTGACCCCAGGAACCTGCAACACTTGCGGACTCGAAGACTTGCTGATTAAAGAATGCTGGCCCAGTGAAAACATTCCGCCGATCGCGGAAACATGGTTGCCTCAGATCTCTGGATGTCACGAGTGCGATGGTCATAACCTTCATCTTTGCGTCGAGATACGCAGCCTGCCAGGGTAGCTTTCCAACAGCAGCGACATGTGTTGTTATTTAGTGCGTTATTATTGGCACACATGTGTTTGTGATGATATGTTGGCTTAATATACAGTGATCATGCTACGCTAGACCCCCAGGTACTTTAAACTAGAGCTACGGGCGGCCTCGTACCCGTCGAAGTCAACAAACCTCCATGACTCAATGCCACCCGCGCGTGAGGAGTAGTAGTGGGCGCACTCCCGCAACCCATCGTACATGTCATGGTGATCAACTCTGAAGTTGTCTGACACGAATACCACCCGCCGCAAGCGTAGAGCCGGATTGAACTTGAAATATGTTGAAGGATTGCCATGCAAAGATTTAGCCGATACAACGTATGCGCCAGCCAGACGCGCGCACCAAGCCAATTGGTGCCGCACAGACAAAGTGGCCGGAGACTGTACAACAAAGACCGTAGCTTCATACGTTTTATTTGTTTCCACAAGACCACACGCCCTCACAAGAGATGGGTCACATGGCCCTTTGACAAAGACACATGATCCACGCAGCAATTCCCTGGGATCGATGGGCCCTCTGGATACCATTCCGTTAGAGGTTTGGAG